TAATGTACACAAAGAAGAGCTTGCAGGATCTGACCAATGGCCCGTCTGGTTCAGCATCCCATTCATCTGGGAGGCCACTGTGAGAAAGGGGTGCTGGACTAGGCTGGCCCCTGGCCTGAGGCAGGCTGTTCTTCTTTTCTGGGAGTGGCTAATATATGCAGAAACATGCATAGTTCAGCCACTCCCTTGGAGCCGCCCCACCACCTGACCTTCTGGAGCCATGCACTGAACAGGTCTGGCCTGGGTCTTGCTTCCTGGGCTCTGGGAGGCTTTGGAAAGATCTCCTGGGAACTCAGGACAGCCCCATAAGATCCTGTGAGAACCTTGCACAAAAAGAGCTCTCTGCCTTCTGCATATATGATTGGTCTGATTCCAACAGGCCAGCTGTCAACAGCCTGAAACTGAAACCATTCAAGTTAAATGCATTCAAGTTGGGAGTTTCCACCAGTTTTCCAGGGACAGATGTCAAGTTAATTGGGCTGTGATTCCCAGGATCCTTCCTGGATCCCCTTTTGATAATTGATGCTTAAATGGTTCAGTGTAGCAATCTTTCAATCTTGTGCTTTGAGCTGCCACCCACAGAGAGGGTTCCCCACTTGAGAAAGAAGGCCCCCTAGTGATAGCAGGGGCAGGAGGGCAAATGCAACTTTGGGGTCAGGTCTCAACATGTGGCTCCACATCCCCTTTCCCCACCCTTGCCCCTTCAAGAGATCGAACACAGGAAGGGGGCAGAGCGTGGCAAAGGAAGACCCTTATCCCCCAAAGGGCTCACTTTCCCACAGGCTGTACCAGCTCTGGCCACCAGGGGGCCTAATGAGTCTCCACAGGAACAACTGACAAAGACTTGGGGAGAGGATGGAGGGGAGGCAGGGAGCTGAGCAGAGGCTTCAGCATCATATCCAGAGCTGGCCTGCCCAGGAGGCAGCCCCACAGCAACACACACACACACACCCGGACGGAGAGAAGCCGAGTTGAGTTCAGTGAGAGATGGGGCATTTCCATGGCAGAAATGGGGGGGGGGGCACAGTGCTAAGGGGGGAAGTGCAATTCCTCTTTGTTTCAAGTAGCAAAATGGGACGTATTATTATCATAATCATTATTATTATTTATATATCACCCTATACCCGGAAATCTCAGGGTAGTTCGCAGAACAAAATCTAAAACCACAAAATATTCAATCAAAATAAAAACAACCCAATAACACCCCCCCCCAAAACCCCCACATTTTTAAAGGGCATAGGGTGTCGATCAAATCAACCAAAGGCCTGGTTAAAAAAGAACGTTTTTGCCTGGCGCCTAAAGGTGTATAATGAACAAGAGGGAGACAGATTGAAATTGCAGAGTTTTGAAAAACTAAAAAATAAAGTGCGAGATTGGCTTCATTATTATCAGATAATGGAGGCATATAATTTGGACAAGAAAATTGGCTTCCAGGTGGAAAAATCAAAATTGGAAACAGAACTTTTAGAACCCAAAACCAAGATTTTGTCAAAGATGTATAACTTGCTGTTGAAATGGAATACTCAGGATGAAACGGTGAAATCTGCTATGATTAAATGGGCACAAGATGTTGGACATAACATAATGATGGCTGACTGGGAACAGTTATGGACCACAGGTATGAAGTTTACGGCATGTAATGCCTTAAGAGAGAATATTATGAAAATGATTTACAGGTGGTACATGACACCAGTCAAGCTTGCAAAAATCTATCATTTGCCCGATAATAAATGTTGGAAATGTAAAGAAACTGAAGGTACATTCTTTCACCTTTGGTGGACGTGCCCAAGGATTAAGGCTTTCTGGAGATGATTTATA